TAAATAGTTTTTTCCTCATCCCAAATTGTTTCTGAACCGTCCTTGTCAGCTCCTCTTCCCTCGGAGCTCGAGGCTTTCATGAACCACCAGGTGCGGCCAATTCATGAAGGCAAAATTAATTTGCCTCACAAAATGTTCCTCCTGATGAGCTCAGTTTGTAATTTGTTGTTTTGATGTGTTTTTCCAACTACTTTTACTTTTCGTGAGTCAAAAGCGAGACAGTGTGTGTGCATCACACTGTGCTCGTTTGCACTGTTTTTCATGCGATGCGCTCATGTGTGAGGTGCACTGATGAGTTTTTCTCCGATAAAATCCTGCAGGCGCCGCATCATGATGCAGCACGTTCTATTGAATGTTTAGTCGTTTAAAAAAGAAAGTGACGGGTAAAAGTTGATCATAGCAGATTTGTTTGTACCCTGTCAGTCAAAATGACTGACAGCAAAAAAAGCCAAGCACAACCTCTGTCCGCCTCACCGGTATTTATGCTCACGAGCTGCTATTGTAAATGGCCGGCCGTCAAAACTTGCACCACTTTCTTCAGTGGTGGATTAGCCTACCGAGGATTTCCCGGCTTGCATCTTCTTTATTGCATAGCAGTCAGCTGATCTGCTCGCACGGTCACGAGTGGACAGGGTGATGGAAAAAAATCATCTCTGTGGCAATCTTGTCTCCCCTAGAACCACATAATCTAAATCTCTGTCTCTGGCATAACATGTTGCGGCTCAAGCTGTCATTCCTCAGTAGATAAAACCCTGTCAATCACCAGTGGCGCTGCGATTGGGGGTGGCCAGGAGGGGCAATACTCCCACCCCTAGAAAAATAGTGGCCCTACCAGTTTTATCCTCTTGCGTTCCAAGCTTTTGTTCTATGCTCATTTTAATTTTGGAGGGTGTTAAAAAATATAAATGTAAATTAAATATGAATTCAATTTTTATATAAGATGAAAAAAATTAAATTTACAAATCTAATCCCACTGAAAAATGACCATTGTCCTCAATATCAAGATGCAGGTTTTCAAGACATTAGACTATCTATCTGTCCGTCCGTCCGTCCGTCCGTC